TACAGTCCCTATCTTGCACGTAACCCGGGGACTGCCTGTATTTTATTTGACATCAGGAACGGGGGTTAGGGAAGGGTAAGTGAAAGGACTTGAGGGAGGAATGAGGTACAAGCCCCCACTGGGGCAGACCAGAGAGGCTCTTAGTGCTCCTCAGGCTGAAAGCTCTCCCTAAGGGCTTCCTGGATACTGACAGCCCCCCAATGGACCTCCCGGATGGTAGCCTGCAGAAAGTGCAGCCAGGCTCGCAGCAGCGTGTCCAAGAGAAGCACCAGAGTGCTCAGGGGCAGCTCTGGCTCCATGTTGCAGAGTGCTGTGGTGTCCCGAGGGAGGGCAACCAGAGCAGGCAGAGACAAAATGCTTTGCTGTCCCTCATTGAGGTAGATAAGCAAGCAGGGAAACCTGAGAACTGGCTGTCTGGGAGGGTTCCTTTAAGCACAGACCTCAGATAGACACAGGCAGCAGCCTCACAGAGCAAATTCTGACCTGGTGCCCTCCTGGAACTGGTTCCGGCCAGCCTTAAATGCGATTCAGAGTCCACTCAGTGTGGATGCGGTATTTTGAAATAGCAAAATGCTGTTTCAAAATGTATTTTGTGTGTAAACGCATTATTTCAAAATAACTATTTTGAAATAAGATATTTCGAAATACCACTGTAGTGTAGACTGCTGTGACTTGAGGTTGCCCAGAACCTACTGCAGGATGCTCAGCACCTTCCAGATTTGATCTCACTGTGCTTTTCATCTTCAAACTGCTTTACAAACATTATTTACACAAATAAATAAAAAGGCAATGCAGAAAAAAGATGCTAAGAGCTAGGAAGAAGCAAATATATTAGATTTATCAAGGCCAGCAGGTATGTATTAAACCCAAGGATCTTCATAACTTTTGTGATGAACTCTACACCTACAATAACGGAATTCTGGATACTCATTGCAGTGCAATTGTTAGTGTCAATCTGATGTTCCTATCCACAGCAGCCAAAGAGGTTAAAAAGTATCAGGAGGTGGAGAAAGCTTAATTTAAATCAAATGTCTGTGCCTTACGTGTAATTAAAATTCAGGCAGAGTTGCTATGCTCAGTCTGACCCTTTTTCTAGCAGTTTTCTTTGTGGAAGTTTATATTATGACTCAAAACCAGTCTAGATTCTTCTAAAAGCATAATGTCTTAATGGGGCATCATACCAGACTAAAGGACCTTTCCAGGCCAAACATTGTGTATTATGAATTATTCTTGGTCCAATAAACAGCATAATTATCTACCTTGTCTGCTGCAGCCACTCTGTGACAGCTAAAACTATTCAAATTAAATCAAAATGACTCAATGGCAAATGCTGTGAAAAATAACATTTAAATTCCCATGTTAGATTTTAATTTTAAATGCAATATCACTTGAATATGTCATGAACTACCCATTGTGTGCCTATGGATGACCACGAAAGCTCATTATACCATCTACATGTTTTGTTAGTCTATAAAGTGCTACTAGACTATTTGTTGTGTTTTAAGTTCATCCTGCACAGGCAATCCCCGGGTTACATGGATCCGACTTACATCGGATCCCTACTTACAAACGGGGTGAAGCAACCCCGAACTAGCTGCATTTAGTGAAAATGGAAAAACAAGAATATGAGATAAATCTAAATAAGGCTGCATCATTCCATTTCCTATTGTCTTTTAGAATTAGAGGGTGTCTCGGAAAATAGAATGTGTGAGGAGACGAGCTAATGTGCCAATGAATAAAATAAGATTGTCCCTGTTTAAATAAAGCATAATTCTTTACTACTATTGATGTTTTATGTTCCAAGGGAACTGTTGGATATATACAAGTTGTTCCAGAAAAAAAAATTGCCTTAATGATTCATTACACAGAACTGGGATATTTGTGTTTAAATTCTGACTTTTTCCCTAAAATGTAGATGATGTGGGGATGTCACTTAAATATTTTCCCATCTGTAAAAATGGCTAATAATATTTCTCTTCCTCATGGGAGAATAAATTCTTTGATGTTTGTGTAGTGATGAGACACTATGTGAGCCCAATCATTGTACAGTCAGAAATAAGCAAAGTTAGATCAAGCCAATTGTGTTTCATCTTTAAGAGCATGTCTGCATAGTAGGGCTAAAGCCAAAATAAGCTACACAATGTAAACTAAATCAATTGGGTAGCTTTAGTCAAAGTAGCTTATTTTGGCTTTTGGTGCTGTCTATATAGCAGGAAGTCCGAGGAAGAGCACTCTTCCTCTGACTTCCCTTACTCCTCCTAAAATGAGGGCTACAGGAGTTGGAGTAAGAAGTCCTCCAGCTTGACATTATTTTGACATTATGTCACATTATGTCAAAATAACTGCTTGCAGTGTATTGAATAATGTTATTTATTCCAAAATAACTTTGCTGTGTAGATTTATACTTAGGCTCAGGTTAGCAATTCAAAATAATTAGCTGGACATAAGGCTGAGGTTTTATTTTACTGAGAAATTCTTAGAGATTTGTTTCCCTTCAACAAAGGTACTTGATGCTTCGCAGAAGAGGTTGTAAATGTTTTATACTATTTTTTGATTTATCACGTCCTGCCTCAGTTTTTGTTGTTTTCTTCTTTCTATTCTTGAGGTCATTTGACTTAAACTGGTTGTTTGTTTCTGAAGAGTCCATTTGTTGCAATTGTTTATCTCGACAGTGTGTGTGTATTTTAGTTGTCCATGAAAGAACAGCAACTCTTTAATAAAATTAAAACAATCAGATAGGGGCGGATAACCTCATAAATAAAGCTCTTGATAACATGGTTTACAGCTGTAAAGTTTTGCAGACATTAGGTATATTGGCTCTCCTTGCCATAATTCAATAAATGTGTGCATGGAATTGATCTGCTTTGTGCAGTGTTCAGCCAGGAAATGGAATTTACCAACCCCCAAGAATTCATTACGTGATGTTGCTGTTATGTACACGCATTGAGCAATTTGTGGATTATATTAAATTATGGTGAACACATTTGATCCAAGCACATCACATGGTGACCCATCCCCAGAATTATATTCTGAGTGTATCTGTGCTATTTTACATTAGAATGTCGTTTTAAAAATTATATTCTTGTGAGAGTGAATGGAATTTTATGGTTCCTATTTGTGTTTCCAGCAGCATTTAAGCGTGGATGCTTTCTTTCTTTTTTTTTTACATTGAGATTTTTCAGATTAGTTTTGATTTGCATTTCTTATCCACAACATACCAACCACTAGTTCAAGTGTGACATGAGAGGCCCTGTCTTGACAGATTCATTTTACCAGAAAGATGTAAAATAAATAGTGAAGGGTATAGTTCATTATCTTCAAAAGGTTTTCTTGTCAGTGTGCTACAAAGGAAATTTAAGATTAAAATAAGTGCTTTGCAGTCATGTAAATTCTGGTTAAATATTCTGTGACAGCTTGGGGGTTTAAAGGATAGATACCATTTTGGAAATTGAAGCAATAAGATTTTGCTCTTATTATGCAATTCCTTTCATATGAAGAACTCACATCTCTTTACAAACATGAAGCGCTTCACAGCTCACAACACTCCTGAAATAGGGCCATGTTATTACCTAGATACACATTATCTCTATGTCACTGATGGGGAAACTGAGTCATGGAGGATTTTTATAATTTGCCTCTCTGTTACGAAGTTAGCAGTAGAACTGAGGCACCTTGGCTACCAGATGCTTTCCATTGAAAATGTCAGTGGTTACATGGTTAAATGCAAGGGGGCAGCCAGTTCCATGGGAGCCAGTGCATGCTGGGAGCTGGCTTTTAGGGGACAGAGGCAGCAGTGCAAGGCAGCAGCTGGCTCCCAAGGAGACAGACCAGGAGTCACATATAACCATTTGAGTAACTGATAAGCTCATGCTTATTGGTTACCTGTTTAAACAGATATACTCTTACATCCCTAGTCTACACCAATGGAAAGGATTTTTCTGACAGTGCAGGAAAACCACCTGCTTAAATTTGAGTAGTTTCAGCAATATAAATATTATTCTGTCAAAAGAGATGCATTGACAGTGGGATTTAAGTTAGCATAACTGTGTAGGCGAGGGGTATGGGTTTTTCATACTCTTGACTGACGTAGCTATGTCCAACTGACATATAAAGGTAGAGCACCCCTTAATATTCTAGATGGTAAAATGCTGCTTGTTGCTTCACTGAAACTATTTCTAGAGTACAAACAATATATTTTTTACTTGCAAACTATTGACTCTTAATGTAAGACTGCCGTGCTGAATGTGTATGACTGTAAAAATAAATAATTGGAATACTCTGTTATACTCAATGCCATATGGAAAAAAGTGGAATCTACTTTGGCTAAGAGATTTTGGACAACACTAGACACTTACTTTTGACAAATGTAAACTTGCAGTATTGGATGGTTAGAGCATTAATTACATAACAGGAAAGCTGCATTTTTTTCATTCACTGCAGTTAAGAAGAACAAGCACAATAACAGCCTTGCACCCAATGAGTTATATGCACTTTGCATTATTGTGGGCATTTGCTTGAGTTTTATTGTTTAAAAATTAATATTACATTATTAAAATATGCAATCCGGTTAACTGACTACTGGATTAGAAACCAGAAACTCTGGATTCAAATCTAGATTCCCTTTAAACAAGAAATTTTAACCTCTGCATCAGGTTTTCCATTCATTAAAAGAGTAATATTTCATCAGGATGCTAAAAAGACTCTCAGTGATTGCAGTGAGTTTTGGATTAGGCCCTTAATGCTGAGATGCACTGAGACAGGCAGTGCTTAGCATTAGGGGTAGAATTTTCAAAAGCTCTCAGTATTGACTAGCTGCTCCCTCTTAACTCACATTTACTTCAATGAGAGAACTTAGTTTGGTGCTGGGTGGGTACTTTGGAAAAACGTCACTCTATTTATATATTCCTATCATTACTGCACAGTAAGCATGCTCACTCATAAAGCAGCTGTGGTGAAGATATTTTAGGGTTCTAACTGCATTCAGTATTTTTGTGTTACAGGCATTCCTCAAGACACAGACAATTTATGCTTGTTTCTTTTGATATGTGGACTTAGAAGAGTCAAGGACCCTCTTTATTTAGTGGATGCGTTTTCAGGTATGTACCCTGCTGTTTAAATATCTCTGCATTTTCACTGGATTTGCTTTTTGCCCTCCAGACATTATTCAGATACATTTCTTGGTGTTTATGACTGTACTATAAATTGTGTTTTTCTCTGCAGAATAATTCATAATATATTTATGTTTTTTAAAAATGTTCCTATAAACATTGATCTTTTGAACATATTTTTCTGTACTGTGTCTTTTTCTGCCTGTTGGGAATAACATAGAATTGCAATCAAAGAAAAATATTTGGTCCTTTTGCCTGTTTAGGGAGTAATTATTTTGCTGCTAGCATGTAATATTCATAATACACAAAAAAAAGTTTACCTAATTCAAAATAAGTTTTTTGGTTTATTGTGTCATGGTTATTACATGTTTCTAGGTGTACCAACGAAGACTGTTAAAGTTATAAGAAAATCTCTTTTCACATGTGCTTAGATCAAAGCAATAATCTAAATGGAGGTTTATTTACATAGCATATAAGAAAATCTTACAATCCTGAAAAAGGTTGCAAACGAAACGACCATATTTCATTTACTAGAACTATGCCAAAAAAGTTTCCAATCAGTTCCAAATTTAAAAGTCTACTGTATTCAATGACCATGAGCATAACGCATCTCTCAGAGCCTTGCCTTTTGCCTTTCACAAAAATATTAGCAGAATATAGTGAGAAATAATACAAGGTATTCTTTCTAGGAACTAGGGTGTAAATGGGTCTTCCTACTTTTACAGGGATTTTATCTGTGATGCAGTTGTAGTTAGGTATCAGAGGGGTAGCCGTGTTAGTCTGAATCTGCAAAAGCAACGAGGAGTCCTGTGGCACCTTATAGACTAACTGAAGTGTAGGAGCATAAGCTTTCATGGGCAAAGACCCACTTCGTCAGATGCATGTAGTGGAAATT